TTTTATACATGGAAATAAGCTTTTCGCATTTTATACATAGAAATATGATTTTTGTTTTACACATGGAAATAAGTTTTTCGCGTTTTATACATAGAAATCTGATATTTGTTTTATACATGGAAATAAGCTTTTCCCGTTTTATACATGGAAATATGATTGTTGTTTACATGGAAATAACCGTTTCGCGTTTTATACATGGAAATATGATTTTTTGTTTTATACATGGAAATAAGCTTTTCGCGTTTTATACATGGAAATATGTTTTTTTTGCTTTATTCATGGAAATAAGCTTTTGACGTTTTATACATGGAAATATGGTTTTTTGGTTTATACATGGAAATATACTTTTCGCGTTTTATACATGAAAATATGATTCTTTGGTTTATACATGGAAATATGCTTTTTTCCGTGTATAAAACAAAAAAAAATGTATTTCTATTTATAAAACGTGTTTTATACTGTGAAATAATTTTTCGAGTTTTAATTGGAAATAAGCATTTTCGCGTTTTATACCTGAAAAATACGCTTTTAGCGATTTATATATGGAAATATGCTTTTTCGTTTTATACATGGAAATAAGTGTTTTTGTTTTATGAATGGAAATAAGCATTTCGCGTTTTATACATGAAAATAAGCATTTCGCATTTTATACATGAAAATAAGCTTTTCTCGTATTATACATGAGTATAAGCTTTTTTTTCGTTTTATACACGAAATTAAGCTTTTTTCTCTGAAATTTCTCTGCTTTGCTAACTGTGTCTCATACTCACGAATTATCTCTGCACAAAAGATTTGTGTAACTTTCTTACCGATAATGAAAATGGGTCGTGGATCTCCACGACTTCTTACCCTTTGTACCTAAACAATATTTGTCTCATTGACATCACTTGTTCTCAAACCCATTTACACAAACTTAGCTAGTTTAATCGCAGTTTTCATGTTTCTGTTGTTTCAGTAGTTTTTTAATCATTTCACCTCAAGCAAGGCAATAAAGCCACTAAGACGCAAGAGCTTACTGTGGGAAAATGTGAGAAGAAAGTATTATTAAGGGAACAATAAAAGAACAGAAATTAAGAAGGCAGACACTGAACTGACATTTTTGAAGATTAAAGTTGACTGAAAAGCTAAAATCCTGACGTGAGTTCCACAAGTGAGAAGAACAAGAGAAGACATATTTGTATTTCATTTCATCATGTTCTTTTTTTGTTGTCTTGCTTTTTTTATATCCATTCACCTCAAGCAATGGCAATAAAGCCCCTAAGATGCAAGGTGTTACTTAGTGTGAGAGAAGATAAGAAAAGCAAAGTATTATCAGGAATTCAGGTAACGATTGACATGGTATTTAACTTTTTGAAGAACACGTCTTCGCTTGAACTCTGAAATTTTATTTACTAAATTATTTATTTACATTTTCTCCTCAAATAGCAGTAGATAATTTCGCCTACCCTCCGGTTCACTCTACTCCCCGACCATTTGAACAGGAGTACAGGTTTATTTTTATATCCTGTTTAGGATTATTCTTCTGGCTTCTTCTAACTTCTGCTTCAACTATATTCATCTAAGGCTTCCGCCTATTCACTGAAATTTCATTTACTAATTATTTATTTATTTTTCTTCACAATATGAGTAGATAGGTGCACCTATCGCCCGGTTCACACTCCCCCAGGTCTTTTGAAGAGGAGTAGAGGTTTATCTTTTGTTTCCTGTTTAGGATTGTGTTTCCGGTTCCTTCTAAAGTATTGTTCATTTTCTTTCACACCCAATAGACGCTGGCATCTTAATAGCATTATCGCCTTGCTTGGGGTGAATTGATTAAAAATAGAGTCAAATTTGACTGGAGAGAACGAAGTCGGAAGAGTGTGTCAAATTTGTCATACCATCTTCCCTTATTTACTACCATTTTCATGAAAAACTTACAGTTGCTCATAGGTTCGTTCCATTGTAATCTCAGCATCCTTCTGTAGAACCACTTTTCTCTTGCTTCCTTTCTTCTTCTGTGAAGAATAAATTATTTAGTATTCACTGTCATATAAAGAGGACTGATATTACATATCAGTTCAGTAATTTTGGCTTCGTCTCTAACGAAATATTCCCAAAGTCCAAGTATAGAGATAATGGCATTTGGATCCGGAAGAGATTAAGTTGGAAAGTGGTTCCTTTAAGGTGAAAGTTCATTTTTTTAAAAATAAGGAATTAATATTATGCCGAGCTTGCTAATTTGTCGTCATATAATTTTATTATTTTATAACTGCTGGCAAAAATGCTTTTCACTTCGGAGCAAATAAACAATCTTATATAACACACACACAAAAAAAAAAATTGAATTAATCTGGATGTTTTCACTTAATGAAATATACCTCAAACAAATTAAATTAAATTATTTAAATTAATGGCAAATTTTTCCCTAT